GGGGACCACTGCTCTAAATGAGGCACCAACCATATGGGAGTCTTCTTGTAAGCCAGGACTTTGATCTGTCCCGAATTCATTTGAAAATTATCGGCAGCCATGCTACACCACATCAGCAACTATCTCTGTGTTTTTATAGTTGAGACTAAAAGGTAGTCTGACATTTATCAGGCTTTTCTAAAGTTTAATCAGCAGTTCTGTGCTAATGAGCCTGTAAGCTTTTTGGATTGTACTTTGGTACTTTCATGACTTGAAAAGAAAATTCTGTTCTAACTCATTATATATAAACAAATGCAGAAGTGTCTTGGTGATAACACAAATCCGACTTATTCTTAAAAAGAAATCCAAACACAAGTCACATAATAACTTCTCAGATACCTCCCTGCCCACTGCTATGGTTGCTCTGATGTTGCGTTGTCTTCTGTTTAGAGCTTATACACCCTCCTCCCACCTTCATCTTAGAGCACTTTGTGTTTGTCTGTCAGTACAAATCGTCTCTGTCAGTACAAAGACAACATCAAACACACACTGGGTATAAATCACGCCAAACCCTGTCAGCGTTGTAAAACTAGTACTGTACATATCACCATTTTCCCCCACTCTCAGGCTTCTTCTCCTCGGCTCTCAGTAAATTACTCTTGAAACATCAAAACCGTGTGAAATATCTTAGAGGCGGAACAATTCTCCATCTTGCTACTGAATCTCTGCAGCAGCCTGATTTGAAGCATTTCCTTCCTGCTAATGCTTCTTTTATAAATATCACAATGTACTTTTAGATTATTTAAAATGCACATGTTTTAGGGATGGTGGACTTTGAGAGGTAATGGCAAAATTTTCAACCAAGATCTGATGCAATCAGAGTAGTTGACTCTTAGCGATGTTGACACCAAAGTAGGGCTGGGCGAAAGGGACCAAAACTTGATATATTTTAGCTGAATTTGGATTTTCAATATTTTTTCTACTGTAAAGTATTTACAAGTTAACTCCCTTCAAGCTGTCTTTAGTAACTGTTATAGAAATTTTATATTTCATTACTTTAGTCCTATTAACAAACCTATTAACTGAATGTCCTGAAAGCATTCACACACACACACACACACACACACACACACACACACACACACACTCTTGTCTCCTTGTAACCTCCCGTACACACACACACACACACATTCTTGTCCTCCCATACACACACACACACACACACACTCTCACGCATGATCCACTCCCTTTCCTTACTTATGTTTTTGTATAAATAAACTCTGTGACCAGATGTTCGGCGCATTGGCCTGTCGGGGCATTGGCCTGTGCACTTGCCACAAATCATGATTTGGTTGTATGTCTGCCTTATCGTCTCTTGTCCCTCTCTCTAGCTGCAGGAAACGGGTTTATTGATAAACATATTGAAAAAATCCCTAACAGTAACTGCATACATGAACTCATCAGCAGATTAAATATATAAAAATTAGTGATGCACCGATATGACATTTTTGGGCAGATACCGATATGAAGATCACTGTAATGGCGGACAACCGATATTTGCCGATACCGATATACCGACATTAACTCATTCACTGACAATGACGACTAAATTCATCATTTGCTTTTTTTTACTGTGTGGGCATCGGAACGAGTCCCCGCACAGTGAGAACAAACATCACAGCTCTAAAGCCAATCTTCATCTGCTTACGTCACATGTCACGTGACCAGCAGAAAATCCATGTGTTAGGAGATCATTTTGGGCCGCTGCTGTAAAATAAGTGAGGCGCGAACCGGAAAAGCTTCTGCCGATCACATTTTGACAACGGATTATGAAAGAACGGATAACGCTTGAAACGCGCAGATTCTTCCTGATGTAAGAGGTGAATCCCCGCTTTGTTTTGGTAGCTTTGGCGTCGACATCATCCTAGCGAGCAATGGTCTGTGACTCTTAAAAAACTGTAAAAACGCTGAAAAACGCAGGCAAGTGAAGGGCTTTTCTGATCAGCTGGCAGTGAATGAGTTAAGGCTTCTAAAATCAGCAGATTTTGTATAGAATGAAAATTATTAAAGCTGAATTTACATCATTATGTACACACAACACACACATGTAGCGACATGAATGGCCTCATTTGTGACCCAAAGGTCACACTTCCTCAGCTGGATCAAGCTGTCCTGGCTGTACTTCTGTCTACAGATTATCCATCACAGGAGACGCGAAATCTGCTGTAAACCATCTTTAATCTGACTGCCTTTATCTGACTGCTGTTCCATCCGCAAGATGAAGGACACTTCAAGATTTTAAAGAATCATTTTTAATAAACTCTTTTCACTGTCTATTACAATGTTCATAAATAATCATCAAGGTTTATTATAAATGTATTTAATTGCTGAAATGAATTATTATTCTTTGGTTAATAATAATTATTATTTATGATAATCAGTAATGTTTAACAGTGACAAGAAGATCATGTGCACTTATACACACCATGCAGGACACAGTAATCAGGTTAAAGGCAACTGCAGTCACATGTCTTTGTTCCACAACACCAGAGCTTTCTATCTTGAGAGGGCGTGTTCCAAGGTATGTTAAAGCTACATGTCAAAATCTAATTCGTTAGAATAAGATTACCGGCCGTCTCTTAAAACCAAAACTCCTCAGTTCAAGTTCAGTTCTTGAGCTCACCAAAATTCTCTCCGTGGCACGAGAGTCCAGAGGATCGAGTCGGCCGTTCGAAACCTCTACTAAAGCTTTTCTGTTACGCCGATGGAATTGCTTCAACAGAAACGCCATCTGCAGCAAAGCTGATTCAGAACTCCTTCAGAGTTATTGATTTTTGAGACGCAACCAGTTTCATCAGTCGTTGTGATACGGAGACATCTCAGGACCGATTTGGTCACACCACGGTTCTTCTACCCACCTCGTGCTAGGGGTCATCATCTCCTCCGGATATCTCGGTTCCAAAGGGCGGTCTCCTAACTGGGTGAGGTAGACACTTCCGACAGATTGCATCTGAATGCCTCTTTTATTAAGAAATAATTTAGCTTAACTGCAAACCAAATTCTTTCACCCAGAACGTGTTTTTCTCTAAGATAAAAACCTTCTGAGCACCTACATTCACACATCCAAACACACACACACTTCATTTTTAGTTTCATCCAGACACAGATTGCTTTAATACCAAAGCTTTTATAAATTGTCTTTTAAATTGTCATCGTTAAATTGTTAGTAATAAATTCTTAACTTTCTAAACCTGACTCTTCTTTGAAATAAAACACAGAGTGGTGTATATTGATCACTGAACGAGCAAAGATCTCTTTAGATCTTCTGAATTAATAAACTTTTGCTATCAATTTTAATCTCTTAAATTAAATATTAATCTTTTGATTAAATATAGACCAAGCCAGGTGGTGTACGAACTTCTATCGATTATATAAATATCTATATAAGTTTCATTGCCAATTTGTTTGATCTTTCTCAGGATTTAGCAAAGCTGAATAGTAACAGCGTAAAATTCTAGTTATGTAGAATAACAACGCTACAGACATTTACACTTCTGAGATGATTACAATCACTCACATGACTAAACAAACACACATCACCCCCCTCATCCTCTGAAAGAGGCAATTGAATGGAGACAAGATGGAAAAAATATCAGTTGTTAATATCAGCCTGGTTTTATTTATCAGGCCGATACCGATATGTTAAAAATGACTAACATCGGCCGATACCGATATTGATGCCGATATATTGTCCATCCCTAATATAAATGTATTTATTCTTGTCCAACATCAACTTAAGTCTATCAGTCTAAGCTTTGGAAACATTGGTACCTGTCTGTGAACACATGTAGGTTTATATTGTGTTTTACCTGGTTCATTTTTATACTGTATTTATAACTGCTTTTAGTGTAAACTGGACATTGAGTCCGTAATAAAATGTCTGTCTGTCTGTCTGTCTGTCTGTCCGTCCGTCCGTCCGTCCGTCTATCTATCATCTGTCTATCTGCCTGTCTGTCTGTGTCGTTAAGAGTTAAAGGTACATGTCTTAAACATCACACAGTCACTTTTATTTATTATATATTTATAACTAATGTAAAATAATTTCAATTCCATCTAGAGGTGGCTCATATCCAATCATTCACAATTTTACCAGCAATTATTTCTTGTTCAGAAAAAAAATCGAAGCTAAATACATGATGTGTTGCATCCACTACCAGATGATTAAACTCCTGGTATTTTGGCCCTTTTCGTACCTGGGAGGAGGGGGTTGGCCCATCTCTCCACACAAGTATAAGCAAAACTCCCTCAGGAGCTACGGTGAAGAGGTTCTCTGAAAAACACACGAACGTCCCCAAATAATTAAAAACCACAACGCCAAATGCAAAGTTTAGAGCAGAACATTGACCCAGAGGTTTTCTGATTGAGCAGACATGTATTGAACCCTTCGAGACGGAGCAAGCTAGCAGCTTGAATAGTTATACTGATATGAATGTAATGGAGTTATCTTGTTTCTTGTTTAAAATTATATAGATATTTTTTTTAATATTGAGTTATCACCCAGCCCTACACGAAAGTTTAGCTTAGCACCTGTAAACCAGCTGACTTAAGTGTCTAAACTGGCTAAAACCAGATTGATTTGGACAGTTAGTGTTTGAACAAAGATCTCCGGGCAACTTCAGTGCAATGCTTCCTCTTAATTAGACACGTAAGAAAATATCGATACAATGAAATATCGCTATATTTTGTGTTATGAGACTGAATCGATATTTTAAAGCAATGTATCCATATGATGTACTTTACACATTTATTGTATTTCTTTTGTGTGGTGCAATTCAAGCTCCTGCAATATCACTGGATGTGTCTTGGAAGCATCTCATCTGAGTTTCAAATTAAATTCGGTCTTAAAAATTTCCTGTCTGGCCTTTCATATCGCAATATGTCGTGTAGTCTCCCCGCCGATATGATATGAATCGATATTTTCATGCCAATACATGCTCCTAACCTGTATTTTAATTCCTCAGGGACGCTAAGAACATGGCTAAAGACATTAACGAGACCCTGGTGGAGATCATTAAAGCAGAGCTGCATGTGGACCAACTGGAGGCCATGAAGAAGCTGGCAGAGCTCAGAGAGGAGAAGCGCTACTTACAGGACATCTGGGGCTGACCGAATGAAGGGATGAAGGCATTTTTACAGCATCTGCTCTACTCTTAACATTTTCAAATAAAAAAAATAAATGGAGAAAGACAAATCAGCCCGCTCAGCTGTAACCTCTGGAACTATTAAACCGTCTGTGCTGAAGCCTGGTGTAGTTTACACCACCCAATGTCACGAAGATGGAGTGACCCGTGGATATGGGTTCAGTCCACCTTCTTTGCCTTTGCTGTTTGGACAGAGCTGACCTTGGTCCGGGCAGCGGGGCAGGAGATTAGTTCTGCAGAGCTAAACAGGCTTTTAGTGCAGACAGCACTCCTCCGTTTGTCCTTTCTGATGAAAAGGCGTTTATTACTGTCGGCCATAATGGAGTGACTTTGTTGAGACTGAGAACGCTCCAACCCGGATGGAAACAACGCATCAATCTGTCGTTCTTAAACAACACACACACACAACACAATGATTGTGATCATTTAGAGAAGCAAAATGTTGTTTTTCCTTCAGGTATTTTTGCTTTGTGGGTGTCAAGACACCATTTCTGGGTGAATGTACCACAGTTTGCTTTTATTAAGACTTCTGACTGACTTATCATTCAATATTTCTTGGTGTTTAAGGAAATAAATCCCAAATCCAACCCCTAAAGTCCTGTTTTTCATATGTCGACATGAATCGTTTTGTCGTGAAATAAATCCTAAATAATCTAAAGTTTCACATTTAATCTTTTGAAAAAGTATCTAAGAGATTTTTGTAAAGAGAAAAGGTTGGAAGGTGTTTCCTTTTGCAATTTGGACCATCATAAAGAGTTGTGTTCATTTAGAGCTGTTTATTTTTTTCTCTTGACTAAAACTAAAAGGCTTAAAACAATCACAATCTTTCTAAAATGGTCTCTCTTAGCTGTGTTTCTTTAAGGATTGATGTAATTATGTTCAGCGCAAAGCAACCATGACAATGTGTTTTAAGGTTTTTAGGTAAAAAAGAAAAAAAATTGTCTCAGTCGGTTCAGGAGCAGAGTCTGCTGTGGGGAAAAATAACCTTTCCGTGTGAAATGTGGACTTTGAAAGAAAGCTTTAACAAAAAATGAAAGTGAAAATCCCCCAAAAGAAAAATATTCACTGTGTATTACATAGTTTCCATCCAAAAAACCAAGATGAGTAACACTTTTAAGTCATTCATCATTACAGGGTGTTGAAAATCTCAAATAGAACATGCAAATCTCAGTGATAATGAGCAGCCAGACCAAAGCAATCCATCTAACTGACTTTGTTTGTGTCTGTCTGCCCCCACATCCCCAGCAGACCTCCAGCATCGAGAAAATAAATGCTAATTCTATTCAACTCTGGGAAATTTGGCCTTCATCTTTCTAACTGTGGGTAAAACAAACTTTGTGCTTTGTGTGAATTTTATTAAAGGAAAATCCAATTATAATAAATAATTTCAATAAAATAATCATGTATTCTGTTGATTTTGTTATACACCTAAGTGTCATCATCACTGATGATCAACTGGTGGTGCCAGGGCCTTGTATTACCAGTGAAATGATCCCATCTGGTCTCTGAAGTGATGCATTATGGGTCTGTTACATACATTCTGATGCAGGAGCAAAGTGAGTAAATGATGGAAGTCTAAGTTCTGAGAACTTGAGTTTTCTCAGTTCTGGGTCAGAAAAAGTGATTAAAAGGTTGGAGGTCCAAACCAACTCTTACCTCTAAATCCAACATGGCTGCCTTGTTCCAGTAAATTGTGATAGTTTTTTTTTCACATTTGATACTTTTGACCTCATTAAATCAAGCACGCGCAGGGCTGCCAACTCTCACCCATTGAGTGTGAGACACACGCATTTAATCGCATTTAAAAAATGGTGAAATGGCAATGCTTCAACGCAAGTAATGCGTGGCAGCCATTTTAAACACGCATTTGCATCATTAAACAGCAAGTATATCACGGCCCAGGCCAGGTTCATTTGTTTTTTTTCCAACACATTACAGTGGTCTCTAGTATGAACGGATGCCTTGAGAGCCAGTCTCTGTAGGAAAAATGCTCTGGCGCTCCTGTTTCAGGAAGTGGAAGTGAGCCAGAGGAGTAAGGAGCAGAACATGGCAGGATTTGGAGTCCTACTCATTTCACCTCTGGTTGGCTAACAGCAGTAAGACTACCACTGAATCCATTTGCCTTGTGACGCTGATATTTTATCTTCCCTAATAAGAAGCCTGAAGGAATTCTGCTTTGTGTGGTGGATTTGCTAATGCTAACAGTTAGCTTCTAGCCGACACATGCTCTGGTCTCTTCTGGATCAACTACAGCATTCCCCATCACGAGCCAAGATGGCTTGGCTTTTCTAATCCGAGAGTTTCCCCGTCTATTGTCTATCAGTGGCTAATGCAGGAAACGGGTTGAAGATTGTTTTCACGTTTAGTCTGCATGTTGAGCTCAGAGTGACAATAAAGTTTAATTTTTACTAGGGCCGGGACTTTAACGCGTTAATTGCGATTAATTAATTAGAGAAAAATAACGCGTTAAAAAAACTAAAGCATTTAATCGCAGCTTGCATTTCAAGCACGGCGGAACCTTTGTCATTGCACGATTTCCTCGTAGACTGAATATCACTGACGCACACAACAATGCACAGTGCTAATGGCTACAAAAACTGAATAAAAACAGAAAGAAGTTGCCTTGCTTGGACTGATGCAGGATTTAGGAAACACGTCCGCCTCTTTTCTTAACTTGGAAAAAAAAAATTTCCAGACAACAACGGAGTCCGTGTCGCGGACATTTTTCAGAGATCGTCTCTGCTGCGGCTGCCCGGTGGCAACGGGAACTTTACAAAAGTTGTGGTAAGCTATTTTTTTAACATTTACGTAACATCTGTGCAGCGCTGAAAGCACCAGACAGAATAATTCTGTGCCCTAACAGTTTATGAAAGTAGTCAGACAAACGAGAGGCACCTGGCTGCCGCTGGGAGAACGCTCCGTGTTCTCACTACTCTGTAAACAATCACAGACAACGTGTCTTAAAGTTGAAAACAGAAGTTTAAGTTAAAACAGAAACTCTCTGAAACTTTTCTGATGATTTTCTAAACAATTCTGTCAGGGAATTATATGTTTCTGAGACGAGTCTCTGTCTAAACATCACATGCATTACTATCATTAAGCAGCGAGGTGTGTTGAAGCTGTTGTCAGCTAAGGGGCAGATGCTTAAGTGCATCAGGGGCAGCGAGGAACGAGGAAGTTGTGATCAGGCTGGAGATCACACCAGATTCGCTGCAGCAGGCGTGAATCTGCGGGTCTGCAGCATCCCCGTATTAACGTGACAGCAGGACTTCCCATGTAAGGAAGGTCCGCTCACCTGTTCGTCAGATCATTATTTCCTCGCCATGATATTTTATCATCCCATCAACCTCCAATCATCCAACTGGAACCAGTTAGTGTTCCTGATCATTCTCAGAATATGTCACGCCTGCTCTGGTGTTAAAAGTTAGTACATTTAAGTCCTAGATCATATTTGTGCCTGTTCTACTGTTATTTTGAAGGATTATTATATATGTGTTTTTACTACATTATGAGTAGAAATGCTAATAAAAACTCCCAATTATACAAACAAGTGAAACTGGAAAAATTAGAATCTGGTGCAAAGTCAAATTTATTTCAGTCATTCAACTAGACAGAGAGACTTTTTAAGGGCTCAGGAACCCTTTGCAGGTGTTTTCTATTTGTAATTATAAATTTTAGTTGATTTGGGTTTTGTTTCATATCACACAGTGACATTTGAATAATTAAAATGCATTTTTTTATTAAAAGCTTTAGTTTACAGTAATAACCATGTCTAATGTTTGATTCTCTGTCTCATAATTTTAATTAAAAGTTTTACTTAGAGAGCACATTTTCCTGAACGATTAAAATGCGATTAATTTAGATTAATTAATTACAAAGCCTGTAATTAATTAGATTAAAAAATTTTAATCAAGTCCCAGCCCTAGTTTTTACTGTTAATCTCTGCAAATATCCGACAAGTACAGCACCAGGAATCTTCAGTCGGCATCACATTCTCTCATTGGAATAAACTAAAGGACCATCAAAGTCTGAGGAGACACACTGAGGTCACTTGCATTCTGCTCCACAGATAACATTGGCCGTAATGTTTTTTTAAACTAGCGACAGTCACACCGATGTGGTGTAAAACTATCCTGAAATGTATGTACTGCCCCCTAGTGCCAGGAAACTGCACACTGCCATATAGTAAGTAAAAAACAGTTTCTCAAAAGTTGGCCTTTAAAAGCAAAAGGCTGACACGCCAAACACCGCATGTCAGGCTCAAGGCTAATCAAAGTCTGAACCTTCATCGGATTCTGGTTTGAGTTTCAGCAGATGTTCTTGCAACCCTTGACCCACCTGGTATTTTAAGTATGTGGGAATAGATGAGCTCAGAGAGAAGGATGATTTCAGCCTTTCTTGGCATGTTTAAGAAGAAGCACTGGGAATTATTGTGAAGCTAATGAACTCTGATTGATCAGGAGCGATTGTTTTTATTTAAATTTAGAGATAATTTGATTCTACAAGGTGACTTTGGTGGGAAGACGAAGGCACACTCTGCTAATTGAAGACTTTTCGCAGTGGGCCTCTTAAGTGCATCCCCCAGAGAGACGCATCTCAGTACGAAGTCTTCTAACAACGGCCCTTTTATTTATCCTCTGTGGGAGTGAAGAGGGAAAACATGTTTACATTTTCTCCTGTCTGGGCCGCAGATGACACACAGTTCAGTGGGATTTTTAGCCACTCAAACAAAACATTCAGAATAAAATCACCCTCTGATGGTGAGTACCTGGTTTTCTGTAAGAGGTAGAGCCATCTGCCCCTTCTCACCCTCGTCTCTCAGTGTCCTTCTGCTTCCACTAGTCACAAAATGAGGACAAAATGAAAATAATGATGCTAGATGCACCTAATAGCATCACCAATCATATTGCACACATGATGCATAACCACCATGAGAGCCAATATACTTTAATTTGCTGTTGGACAAATTGCAAAACATCACAAATATACATTAAAAACAAAGTTTAATGAAAGTGACACGGCAGTTATCACAATAAAGTTAAGAAGCATGAAGTACACTTTGAGCCAGACTGCCCTTATTTACCTACACTAATAGCATGCCCTCGTCTCCATTTAAAAAATGACCGCGGCGAAGACGGAGAGCCTGTCGGCGGCTCGCGTCGCCCCCGTCCAGGGAACACCTACGACTGATGAAGTTTTAAATTAAGTCTTCATAATTAAAAAGGTTCTCTGTGGCAGTTTTGTCCCGCAGCGAGAGTGAAAGGCAGAGCTGTGGACATGGTCAGGCATAAATCAGAGCCCGCTGGAGGTCATTGCGACCACGGCAAGAGTAGCTCCTCTGTGATAGATGCCCCCCTGCTAAGAATGCCTTAAATGAAGCAGAAAGATGTGTGCTGAAGATAATGACTGTTATTATGGAAGTGTGGGCTGAGCTAAGTTGGGAGTTGCACTTCGTGTCAATGAGCTCTGAGAATTAGAAAAAGACCTGAAAAACATTTGGCTCCTTGAGGCAGAAAGTACAATTAAAGGCCTCGCACCCCTCGAAGGACTGTATGCTGCCTTTTGTGCAAGAGTTTTAAACTGGGAT